TTGGCGCTCATTACATAAACACATGCCTCTGCCACACAGAAAGCCTCCGATGGTAAATAATTCCAACCAATCAGTTGCTGCACTTACCCTCTGGGCCAACAGCCTTTAACCATGTGTATGGAAATATCTCTTGTAAACCAAACATAAGCTGAGATATTAAGTCCACAGTGCAGCAGGGAGAAAAGGAGTATATGTCATATGTTTATCTTCCAGAATTTTTCGGCATGTTTGTTACCGTGCATCATCACGCTGGTCATTTGGCTGTGAGTGTCACCTGACGGGTAGGCCGTGGCCACTGGAGCAAAATTAAACCAAACACCAGAATCCCCTCCCCTGCATACAGTAGAATAAACTGCTCTAATTGTGTGAGACTGCAGGACGATGTTTTTGAGGTTTGATCAGTGATTGCAGCAGCTTAGATAATACGCAAAGGATTCAACAGTTTGCCGTTTTTAGAGTTTTTCTCTAAACTTTGTATTCCCAAGAAGAAAAAATGCCCGAGAGTCAAAAGCCGCCACATGATTCCTTCTCCACTGCCTTTTTCTTGCCTTCAGTGAGTTTGAAGTTTCTCAGCCTGAAAAAAATTGCCTGAGGTCCAAATTAGACAAAGATGAATGGAAAGGTGATTGACAGCAAAAGTGATCCCTACAATATTTACAGTCTGGGTGGCGGAGCATCAAATTAGATGCATCTTGAAAGGAACAAACAAAGTTCTGCTGTTTGCTTCAAACTGTATTGATTCGAGTTTTGGCTCAAGCTGTGCTGTCGCTGCCCTCCTCCGTGTTTCTGAACAACTAATGAAGAATTCTGGCTGCAGGCGTCCTGTTCCTTTTTCCTGTCATTCAATTCATTCCATTCATTTGTTCTAAATTCAATTTTAAATTCACGATTGACTATTATGTTCTTGATCTAAATGGCACCATTATTTCCGTTTGTGCGTGGATCACAAAGAGGGGTCTCTAATGTAAAATATCTTTGTGAAGACCAAAAGAACGCAGGTGTAGAAACTCACTTCCAATTTTGCTCTTGCTCAGTTCACTTTGACCAGGCTCAGCTGGCCATAGCCTGTCTGCATACTGCATGTGTGTGAAACTCCACATAACAATGACATACACTCCTCTAATGCTATCACCTTCACCTTGGGTGAAGGCTTTTTAAAAAAAAAAACAGAGGCAGGAAAGAGATGTTGCTTGGTGATGAATGACAGCCACAGTGATGGGAGGATTACTGGAAACATATTGTGTGGTTATAATAGCCTGGGTTACAATGATGGCAGTTGTACTGAAAATCCATTTCCATTCTGTTAATTGTCCTGTGCTGTTGTTTAACACACAAACAAATGAGATGTGGATCCACTTTGAGGGCAACACCCCAAACACATGTATTCATGTTCATATTACATTTAGTTTGTAATATCATGCTGATCCACCTACAAATCACCTTCACACATTGACATGGCCGACTCGCTGGGATAGTAGGCAGGGAAAGTGAAAATAAAAAGAAGGTGATTTAATATCTGAATCTCACTAATCCCAGGATTATAATGCAGGATTTACATACAACCCCCAGATTCTAACTTTGTACAATACTCTTATATTTAACCTTTATAAAATATAGAACCACAACATTATAAATGGTAAATGTCATTAACTTAAAGGGCTCATTATAAAGAACAGTTGGGGTTAAATATATTAAAAGGTTCTTTCAGCTCAAAGAAATGTTTTCCTTGATTAAATTAAAAGTAACTCTTATGGGATCATGCCGGAGGCTAAACTGCTGTCCAGCAATATTTACGAACCCCTTAAGTGTCCTGAGTTGAGCAGAGGTGAGTGAACGCATCTGATTTCACTTACACTCCGACCACGTACACCTGTGTACATGATCAGAATTTATTTTTCTGTTTTGTCCTTTTTCGGGGCACTTGAGGATGCAACAGTGTTTACACGATAGTTCCAGTTGCAACTTTTGACTCTGGAGATGGAAATTAGGAGCTCCAGGGTTTAATGCAAGGTGGCATGAGTCCTGGACATGGACCAAACTATGAAGTTAATGTACATGTCAAATACATTTTTCTAAAACTTTGATAGAAATAGATGAATAAATAAATAGATACTGTTCAGATTGTTCTTAAGAAACGGTTTAAGTGCAAGTCCTCAGTAAGATTTTGGTTTTGATTATAGATTCTTGGTTGGTCTTTGCCTGTACGTTTGTTTTCCTTGTGTTTTGAGTTCTATTTCCTGTTTTATTTTGTAGTTTCTGCTCCTTGTGTGTTTTCCTACTTTACTTCCTGTCGTTGTCCTGTTTCCTGTCCCTGTGATTGTCTGCATCACTTCCTCATGTGTTTCACCTGTGTCCCCTGTGTGTATCTGTGCTTCCCTTTGTCAGTTCTTCATCTTACGTGGTTGTCTCACCACCCGGTCGTCATTTCTCCTCCATCTTCCCTCTCAAGTGAGTTCCTTGTGTCTCCTGGTGTTTACCTTGTTTTTGCTGTTATCCTTTTTTGAGTTTATTGGATTACCTTGTTTTTTTCCCTGTTTTTGGATTTTGCCTCTTTCTTGTGAAGAACGCTGCCTCATTAAAGGACATTTTCTGTTGAACCTTTGGTCTCTGCATCTTGGGTCCTCTTATTTCCACTAAACCAGCATGTCTAAATTAGGGTGTAACCTTCTGCTCCCTCAGAAACCAGAGGGACAGTTTATTGCGCTTGTTAATAAAATGTATTATTATTTCCTGCCTCATCTGTGTAGACTCTTCATACTTCACACAGGCAGCCTCAGATTAATTCAGTATCAGAACACTTATGACCTCACTTAGACAGAAATCCTTTGTGGGGGTCTTCTAGGTTTCCAACGTCTACTGGTCTAATACTTCACCCTGAATGTAAAGGTCAACTCTGTTTCAGATGCAACTTAACTGTTGATATTCTGTGTATGTACTGACTTATAAAATCATCCTGAAGCACAAAGGTCGATCTGGTCCTGTACGATCTTCTCATAGTATAGCCTGTCACAGACTCTATTATGGAAAATGAAAGACAGCACATCAACATCCATGCTCGAACTTCGACCATGAAGTGTGACCACAGCAGCAATCACACGTGACGACACAAAGAAAAATAATACGGCTAAAATGAGAGAAGTCTGTGTCCATTGTTTGGCTTTGTGATTTTGTTGTGTTAGGCCGCCTTGTGCAAAACGTATTTATCATCAGTATTAATGTGTGGGCTGGTGCAGAGAGATGCCTCTGAGGGTGAACCAGGGCCTGTCACAGAGACTGAGGATGAGACACGAGCATGTGGGACTGTGGTGTTGCTGCTGAGGACGGAGAGGTTTGTGGAGGCACCACAGGCGGTTATAGGTCATTCTGTTTCCCTCCCTTTTGTCTGCCACCACTATTATCTGCTTTTCTGAAAGTCATCGGTTTTCTGGAAATCTCAATTACAGCAGGATTCAACTGAGCAATTCATTTAATAAATAGGTCATTTTTCTTGTACTGGGCAAAGCAAGAAGCTGTTTAATAGATTATTTTATTCTATTATTTACTCTTATTGCACAAATTACAATGGTTTAAAAGAATTAAGAGCTCCATGCACCCTACAATAGACTTCCTTCCTCCTCTTTGCCTCTGCTGTTCCAACCTCAGCACCATAACAATTTCAAGTTATTTTACTTTAAATTATTCTCTTTTTAAAGGGATGTTTGACTTTCTATTAGACCACGGCTGATACACTGTATGTTTCCTCTCCTTACTCTCCTTAAAGGCTGTAATTATTTTCCAGGAACATGATTCCCACGTTGCATGAAATTATCGTAAGCGATAATGAAAGCTCAGGGTGGCCCTGACACTCATTAACCTGGTGGGAACTTTATTATTATTTCATTTGACTGAAATCAGCTTTTAGTTAAAGGCTCCTTGTAGATAATCTGTCCCCTAGGACCACTACTCAGCAAAGTTATGTTTTTAATGTGTTGGTCCATGGTTTGTTCGCATTGTGCATGCACATGAGAACTTGGTACACACTCCTGCTGCTGGTTTGACAGTTCTGCTGTAGCAATAGTCTGGGACAGTTACAGATGTGCAGAAAACGGCCGTGAAGAAGAAACTGTAGGAAACTACATAATGTTGCAAAAAGAATATGACCATGTGTGTCCCTGGGTTTTTTCCGGGTACTAATTAAGAAGTTTTGCATTGTTTAAAATTTTTTGGAGAGACATTTGCAATGTTTAATTTCAAGATGTGTGTTTGATTTGCTGTTTAAGTTTACTCTGAAGCTAACAGATTATTTTAAGTAATATTATAATGATGGATGCCTTCACACTTGTTGAGCTAGATAAATTGTTCTGTGGATATTTGGGAATCAGGGAAGATGTGCAAATCATGTTGTGTCTCAGCCACCGCTTGACATAACGTACGGCTTCTTCCATCAGTCTGAAGACGTGCAGACCGGCGTTAGTTTAATCTAAAGTGTGTGTGAGTGTGAGTAGTTGTTTGTCTCTGTGCTACGCTGGCAATCTATCACGTCCAGCTCACTATATGACCCTCCAAAGGCTGACCGGTAGCCTATAGATGGATGAATGGATAGATTTATTACTTATGATCTATTTAAGAAAATAGTAAGAACTAATTGTTGGAGAGAGGATGCGGGTAGAAAAGCAGGGATCAGAATAATGAAAAGAGCAATTACTTCTATAATTATTGGGTCAAATCAGGTTTAATCTGTCCAGTCTCTTCATATCTGAGTTCACTGACCTCACAAAAGAGGAGTCACCAGAGACACAGTAATTAATCACAGGTCTTCTTCTTCACTCGCCCCATCTTAGACCACATCAGTCTCACCTCCACCTCCTGACGGTGTGGACTGAGGCTCTGGAGTTGTGAAAGGAGGAGGGGCGGTTTCAGTGGAACACACGCAGCTCTCCTCCTGCTGCCTCTGGAGGAGCGCACAGAGAAAAGAGCAGTCAGACATGGAGCAGCAGCAGATCTGAACATACACACACACACACACACACACACACACTTCCTCGCTCTCTTTACACACACAGGGGACTCACTTGATCTGAATTAACAGAGGAGCGCTGCCAGCATCGAGGAGTCTGAGTAAGAAAGTAAAAACAGGATGGATGCTTCACAGCTGCTTTTCCTGCTGCTGCTGTTGTACGGATATCTGCCAAAAGTAAGTCTCTTTAAATCTCAAATTATCATAGAATATGGTTTTAATCTAATAAAAGATCTTTATTGTTTCTAGTTAATGGACAGTTTATGATGAAAAACTGCATGAAAGTAAGTTTAAATCTATTTTTAGTTATTATACAGGATTAAAAAAGGCGATATACTGTATGATCTGCTTGTAGCAAACATCTGACACAATTTATGTTAAAAAAAACATTTTTTTCCCATATTACTTGATTATTTGAATAATCTGGACATTTAACCCATTTTACTGGTCTTTTATTCACCCGGCTGGTGTTTTTACTTTGTTCAAGGATGTTTTCAGTTCATAGTACGTCTCACTCTGAAAGAAACATATTTCATCTTTGTCTGTATGAGTCAGTTACTGTGAAGGTGACGTACCTTCTATAAAACAACCGATCTGCACTTAACTGCCAACACTAAAAACTCTGAGCAATGAAAGTGGGTGAATTCAGATGTTTTTTTAAATGTTTGACTTTTGCAACTTTTACATCTAATATCAACATTTCCTTAATATTCACATTTAAATCTCCTGCTCTTTTTGTAAGAGACTTTCTATGTTGAGACGAAACTGTAAATTGCTGTATTGATTCTGCAGGGCTGTCCTCATTCCTGATCAGTTTTATGTGCAGTAAATGACCAGTGTTAAATTCATGACTTTGCAGTTGATAGTTGTTTCTCTCTCCGGGTTCAGATAATTGGATAGAAACCCTCTGAGCGCTGCCTCGTGGTGATATGTCACCTGCTCTGCTGCAGGGGATGCTGGTGCTGTGTGAAGTGTCTGCTGAGGGGGGCAGATGTATAGGTCTTCGCTGCATCTTAGTTTTCAGTGACACTGTAGCTCTTAAAATATATGTCAGGGATTAATTGAACAAGCGACGTGGACATGCTACAAAACCAAGCACCTGATCCTGAGATATCCTGATTTACGGCTCAATAAACCTAAATGTCCTCAACACTTAGTCCCTTATTTTCCACAGATGTTTTTATCTGTGTTGAGGAATTTTAGAAATAATTTTTCCTCCCACTGCACATGATTCCTGATGCTTATTATCTCTGACAGGTAGCCTATCTGCAACTCCACCATCAGCGAACGCCTGCCTAATGTTCCAACTACAGAGATATGTGAGGAAATCAAACAAAAGTCTGAATCTCAGAAGTTTAATGTTTCTGGATTAAGATGATGCATTTGAGTGGATTTTAGTCGTTTCCAGGCAGAATTGACCACGATCATGTCTCTTTCTCCTCACCTCTGACAGACGCCCGGCCCACTCCGAGGCTCCGAAAGATACAAGCAGATACTTCACTTGTTGACATGTGTTAGCTGCTCTTATAGGCACCAGTGCGGAACACATTTAATGGTTTGTCATTGTGCCCCCGCTGTGCAGCAATTGTGTCTTTCCCACAGTCCTAGCAGGCTGCAATAACACACCCTGACATGTTCCTTCAATATATCTAGTGGGGAAATGTGGTGTTCATGGGGGGTGCAGAGAATACCATATGTGGTAAAAGACAAGGAAAGTGTCTGGATGTGGCCGCATGTCAACATTATTAGTTTTAGACCACGCAGATAAAGAGGGGGAGACACAGGAGTGCAGAGGGTGGGTGATGATGACTTCTCCTGGTCTCCTTCAAAACATGAAGCTACCTGAGAGAAACTGCGGGAGATTTGGGAGACACTTGTTTCCAGAGCAATTTACACGTCTCATTTCAGATACTGCAAGTACACTCTTGTAGTTCACGGTGTACTTGTCCTGTGTTCGACAGGATAGCAGAAGAAGGCAGTTGCGTTTTTACCAGAAAAGGACGATCAGCTCAATAAACTGTGAATAAAGATGAACGACATTACCGTTTCCCAAAAGTGAAGCCAAAACGATTTGATCACCACCTGGTGGCTGGCTGCAGTATGTCATGATCCCTGCCTCCTCCATGTTAGCAGATGGGAGATGGACCAATCTAAAAAGTCTCAAAGGTGATTTGATCTGTCATTTTAGGGAGTTCATATCTGATGTATCCAGGATGTTTTGGGTTTATTTCTGGTTAGTGGGTGGAAGTGGTGTTTGGCTGTTATTTGTATGGCGTTGTATCATGATTGTAGCCATTGCTACAGCTTTAGCGTCCACAGCCACCTTTTTCAACACTTTGATAATAGGTTGGTGGTCCCATCCTTAATGAAGACAAGATGATGACCAGAGGCTGAAAAGTCCAGCATTTTCATCTTAACTTTTAAACATTGTCCGTCTAATCTAGTGTTGTTGCATCGTGTTAGAATAACAAAGACCCAGAGTCTGAAACTTAATCACAAAATCCATAGTCAGTTGTGTTCACAAGTATTTATTAGTCTGGTCTTTATTGGTTTTGTATTTTGTCTGTTTGTCAAGCTTGGTTTCTTTTATGAATTTACAAATGTTTTCAGAAGCAGGACATCTAATTCGTTGTTGTGTTACTCTTGTAACTGCAGTATTATTGACTTTGTGATAAGTGCAGCACTGCATGTTGCCATAATAGTGAGCGTGATAATGCTTCTGAACTCAAACTATAAAGTGGCATTATTGAAGATTGTGAAATAAGACACGTTTCAGCTGGATCCTAAAACGCTTCCTGTGTTTTGTTCTGTTTGGAAAATGTTTGAACTTTACATCTTGTCCACTCCACGTAGACATAAACAAGGTGACGGCTGCAGATCTATACAAACCATGCTGCTCTCCACTGAAGTGTAGGACGGGGGATAAACACATCACTCTGCATTGAGCCGCCGCACGGGCGGCTGTGGCTGAGGGGTAGAGCGGTCATCCTCTAACCAGAAGGTTGACAGCTCGATCCCCAGTCTTCCCCATCTGCATGCTAAAGTGTCCTTGGGCAAGATGCTGACCCCTCATAGAACAGAAGTGCTGCTAATAGATATAGCGCTATATCAATACAAACCATTTACCAAACCTCACACAGATGCAAGTTTCTCTCTTAATGTTCCTGTCAGCTCTGCTCATTTTTTAATTTGACCATTTTCTCGTAAATAAATAACAACAATCGCTAAAACCGCCCGCTGGCGCTCAGGATGAACTGTGTGCATAAGTATTTCTGTGATGTTTTGCACATGGACATGGTGTATGTGTACGCGAGTCCCTGAGGCTTTGCAGAGGTACAATTATCATCTGCTTAGTTTGGGATTGACTTTTTGATTTATTACCCAAGGCAGCAATCTCCACAACTCAACTGACTGTAGATATTATTGGTGTTCAGTATTTTAAACTCCAGCATAAATCACTGTCAGGACAGTTTCTCTTTGTCTCTTGTATTATTAAGATTAAGAAATCTACCCCAAATTTAGCCGGTTCCATAAATCACAAGCTCTGAACTTTTGAATTGTTTAGTTATCATGGTGTCCTCTGTGTGTATTCTGGCTCTACTCACAATTTGCAGGGTTATATGTGAGCTTATTAAAGCCTCATGCAACAAAGAGAGCTTGGTCCTCTAAAGTCCCTGCGCACATTCTTTTATCATGTCTGTTTTCCAGAATGATGGGAGACTTTGTTTCAGTTGTCTATTGTTTATGCAGCTTCAATGGTTTTCGAGGAAACTTTATTGTTTATTGTCACTGATTATATTTTCCAAAAAACAGAAAACAAAGCAGTGCACTACTTGAATATCAAATTCAACTGAAAATATGAATTGTTGGCAAGAGTTTTTAATTTGAAGAATAGCCCCAGCAGCAGCCTCAGTTTTAAGATGATTTTATTTAAAAGTTCTCTGTGGGAACAGAACGCTGGTTCATATCTTTTCTGTTTGGGGCCGAGTCATTTCGTATGTTCTCCCAATACAAACCACGAATCACACAATCCACTCATGTCAAGTAATCATAAAGCTAATTATCAGAAACATTTGAACTGAGCTCTATTGATTATGAGCAGAGGTACATGTGGATGAGATAATGAGCTAATGAATGAGCATCCTGATACAGAGAATAACAGCATAACACAACATGTGTGTCTTCACACATCACAGCACCAACAGATAATACATATATGAACACATAACATATAATACATCACATGACAACACATCATATTTAACATAGCTTATAACATATATACAACTCACAACATATAACATAACACCACATATATTATATAGCATGATATGATGTAACGCATAACATAACTGAAATTAATTTATTAGTTTTTAGTTGTTCTAAAAATATAATGTAATTGTAGATTCACTTGACATAATGATCAAAATACTGATGTTAAACATCTCTGTTTTAAGTTCACTGTGAAAATAACATTAACTTTCCGTCCGAGGAGCTTTTAGCTTCAAATCCTCTCCTAAACGCTCCACTATCACTGAACACTCAATTTCTTGGCAATCAGGAATGAGGTTACCCAAGGGTCTGACCAACATGAGAGTTCTTCCTCCGTCCATGTTGCTGTGCTCAGATAATGTCAGCAGATTAATCCTCTGCCTCCCTGCTACTGCTATTATTGCAGGATATGTTGGATTTTCTGTGGTAATCGGCTGCAGGCAAAGACTCCTGTGAGCAAACCTGTGTGGGTTATGACGGTGTTGGGAGAACCTCACAGGGGAGAGATTGAGTGAGGAGATAAATAAAGCTCATGGTGTGGAGATAGAGAGTTTACTTTTTCTATCTCATGTTTCCATGTATGTTGTGTACCCCCAGGTCACCACAGTCTGAAGCAGAACACGATGCATGTTACTGATGCAGAGTTGCTGTGATCATATCAACAGCTGCTCTTTGGCTGTCATGAAAACCTGCAGCAGTATTTTAGGAAATCAACCATTTTTTCTTGTGAGGACCTTCCCCTCTCCAGACTTGTGGAAGAGGAAAAAAATAACATTCTGCTTGGAATAAGATCAGAATCAATAATCTGCAAATATATTTGATTTGGTAATACTCAGTGTGTGTGTTCTGGAGATTACGGTTTTCCATATTGTGTACATATTGGATTTTGGCTCATGATTAGCTTCCAGACCAGCTCCGAAGACGCGATTGTATGAATGTATGCGTCTTTTAATGGCTGTGGAAAAAAACTCACTCACTTTGTCAACTTTTACCAGGAATGTCTAATGTAAGTAGTTATTATATTTTATACTATTTTTCCATTTTCCAATAATCTATAATCACAGAGGGTTCTACACAGTAATTACTCTCCCTGAGTGTGAAGTTGTGCTCGTGACCTGCTCTTTGTAGGCATCATATTTTGTGCTCATGTATTTCTGCACAATCAGACTTCATGAAGCACAGCAGGTCCATCAGCTGTTGTGTATTTACTTCTTGTTTAAACGATGCACAATGCTGACATTTATTCTGTCTCATTACATTGAGTCATTACACTGCCGTGCTGTTTCTATAGCACGCTCGTTGCTGTCGCGCTGCGAGATGTTGTTTGCCGTGTGTGAGTTGAGTTTAGTGTATTTTCTGCTCTCTGCCGGTTTAATAAAGTCGTACATTGGGAGCTCAACCTCCGGCTGAACAGAGCATTTGTGGGTGATGGATGAGGATGATTTCATGTCTGACAGCTCCACAGTGGTTGGGGCTCTTGAGAAGAGAAAGTAAAGCTATCTCTGCAACAACCAATTAGAGAACATGAGTTGTGAAGTTGTGAATACATCCTGTACTTTGTGCAGCATCATTCTTCGCTGCACCCTGACCTTCAGTGTCTCCAGTCTCCTATCGCCATATGAGAGTGAAGCTCTTTTTCCTGGAGTCCATGATTGCACTCGGGCTCGTGCCGACTTCTCCTCCCTCTCTATCTCTCTGCATCTTCACTGACCTTCTCAAGCTCCTCGCTCATCTTACATATTTCCATTGACCCACTGGCTCTCTAACCAGAGGCTGTCGCTTCACATTTTTCAGCCTCTGTTGACACAGATGAACATTTGCTGTAGATTACTCAGTGGCTGCCTTTTCCACTTCCTAATCCATTTGCATGATAGCATCTGTTTGCCCATCGAGAAGGAGCTCTGTTTGAATTTCAGACATGGAGGATATTTCTGTGTGTTTACTGTGTTATTAGCCTGGGGTTCATTCTCAGAGCAAAGCAGGGAGAGCTTCAGATGCAGGAATGTCTTGATTATTAGCAAAGGTTTCTCTACCAGTCTCGACCTTTTAATAACTGCAATATGATGAATGCATATTGGATTCCGGATGCCCAAATATACTTGTCACCTCTTCCACAGGTGTTATCGGTGCAGATGTGTGACGTGGTGAACGAGATCGAGCTGGAGAGGGAGCGCTGCGAGAACAGCACCTCTGGGAACATCACTTCAGGTCATTTTCTGAAATACATTTTGCTCTCTCTGGCTGTTTGGAGGGTGCAGGAGGCTATTCCGAGGAAATGGGAAAACGTATGAGTAAATAAATAGTGAGGTTTAAGTCAGTGCAGAGTGGGAGTTTTCAGATAAAGCTCCATTAAGGGCAGGCAGAAATAAATTTTTCAGAGACAGCTAAATGAATTACCCTGACTTTAACCTTAGGCAACTCTTACAGTCACTCATAAGTCGCATTTTGTTTCTCATTTAGGTCAAAATCCGAAATGAGACGTATGATGGTTTTTCAGTTTCTCTTTCCCTTATTGTGTTATTCAAGTTTATTTGCTTATAAAGGAGGAGACGTCACATAAGGTAGAGATGCTGGTTATAAGGTGAAAGGCATTAAAGAACTGAAAAACCTCAGCAGGCTGTGTTTGCAATTGTCCTTCTCTGGGTCATAAGATCTAAACAAACACACACAACACACACATTTGTAGCAAGACTTTCTCATGATTATTATCATTATTTCTGGTCATTTCTATTGTCTGATACCTGACCTGAGCCTGTTGGGCCAGGATTGGACAAATACACTGAAATCATATTCAGGCTAGGGTTGGGTTCTGTCGCATTTGTGATGTATTTCAGTTTTTTGCAATGAACACGGCTGAATTTGGCTAAAACTGTCACGTTTGGCTCAAAAATAAAATCCCTGTCGGGTTTTGGTCAGTGGCTCGGCTCGTTTACTTCAGTGCTCAGTCGGGTTCATACAGAAATCTGCAGCTCGAGCCACACTCCAACTGATCACACTGATACATTTAAAAAATCATAAAAGCTAATTTGGCGTTCATCTCCCAAATCACAAACGGACACAACTGCTTCTAAAATGTTTAATAAAAGAACTGTAATCTCCCAAATCAAAGTCAGGTAATGAATAATAATAGTAGTGACAAAAATATTATCCACTATTATATCATTATAATAATTTTGGGTCAACACTGACGGTTGTAATATTCATATCAGGACTACTCTTGCCCACTGAAGCAAGAGGTCTGTCCTTCATATGACCCCAGGAACACGGTCAGAAACTCATCTGTTTTAAATGGAACAATTCTGTTTCCATTTATTGTAATTTTAATAAAGAAACACCACTCACGCTGCACGGTGTATAAGGTGAATATACATGAACTGCCTGCGTGCAAACAGCTTTGCACCTTATCTCTGCAGCGGCCCTCATTTCTCCACTTCCCTATCTGCTTCCTCACAGGAAGGTAATGGAAGCTGCTCTCAGAGGTCACGTCCCTAATAAATGAATTAGCAGAATGTGCCCATGCGTTCACATGGTTTTATAGCGTATGATATATAGAGGTTGTCCAGCAGTGCAACAGGACAGATGCAAAAATGACTGCTCATCAACACATGTTGCATTAATGCAGTTTTATACATTTGAGATTAATGTACAGAGTTTTTTTAACCTGGACATCTGTATGCTTGTGTTCTGGTTATTTCACATTTTCCTACTTACTTAAAATAAAAAGTTTTAACTTTAATTTCAAATATATTCCAGTCAAGCTGCAGCCAAATCCACAATCTATTTATTTGCTCCTAATCTATGGCATGTGTCTGTTTATGCCTCAGCATACAGTGTGTCAGAGGAGACTAAACCTCCAGTGACTGTGTGGAGGTGGTGCAGCTTTCACCTTTTAATCCGAATGGAAATAAGCAACATTTTAACTAAAGTTGAATAAAAATAAAAATAAAGAGTAATTACAGATAAAAATGTTTCCTGGGCTGTTGGAAAGAAAAACAAAAAAATTGAACTAGCAGTTACAATATTTAAGAGACACTGTGGGGATCATCTTCTCGTCCTTTTCATCGCTGGAAACAGTTTTCCCAGAGGTGACAAACTATCTAATTATTTAGCGACTGATAGAACTCAATAAATGGATTTTTCTTTATCTCTCCAGCCAGACATCACAGATACGAGCGTCTAAATGTCTTCAATGTGGATTCAAAGGCAATTGACTCACATGAGATTTTCTGCCGTCGTCCATAATATTCATCTCACTTGTGTTACCATCTTCACAACATTTGTTTTGTCCGAATGCGTCGAGTGTTGATGATATAAATCTCACTTGATTGACCTCTAACCAAGAAATGAACCCCTTCTATTGAGTTGTACCTGTCAGTCAGTGCTGCATCACAGATATTGATTGTGTCCCGGATGTCATTTTAAGCACATGATGAAATGTCACCACAGTGTGTGTGTGTGTGTGTGTGTGTGTGTGTGTCAGTGTGTGACAGTCTGTGATCCCATGTTAATCTCTCTCGACAGGTTGCCAAGGAACGTGGGACATCATTGCCTGCTGGCCGACAGCCAGGGTGGGAGAGGTGGTCACAATAACCTGCCCCACGTACTTCAGCTACTTCAGTGACCAGCACAAAGGTAAAATCGACACAAAGTCTGTTTATCCTGTGTTTATCCTGTGAGGGTCGCAGTGGGGCTGGGGCCAATCGCAGCTGACATTGGATATAGAGGAACAATCATTCATGCGTGCAGCTAGAAAGTGGGATCACACCTCCAGCAGCCGTCCTCTTTAATTCAATCAAGCTGCACCAAGTGGAACTTTTAGAAATCAGTTCTTACACGCATCATGTGTGCAGGTCTGTGGACTGTGGGAGGAAGCAGAGTACCTGGAGAAAACCCACAGGCACAAGAGAACATGCTCCACACAAACAGACCCAGGTCGACCCGCAGGTTTGAATCCAGACCTCAACCTTCTTATAGTAGATAGTGCAAACCACTGCTGCACCATTTTTTTTAAAACAAGTACTTTACTCAAGTAGTAAAGTTACTGCTTTTACTTTTACTTGAGTACATTTTTGTAAGTAAAACACTTGACTACCTAAAACATAGTACATTTAAAATACTTTCTGATTATTTTTCCCTCACTGATTTTTATAAGTTCACACATCTGAACAAGGGATCACAGTGAAAAACACATTATCATTTAAATGTCTGATAATGCATTCATGCTGTAGCAATGTGATTTTGTGCAGTTATAGGTTATTCTCCAGTAATACTTGTTTATCTAGCTGGGAGTGTTTTGACATTTATTCAGATCATTTGTTGTATAAATTAATGGACAGAACATTTCCAGATTTATTAGTGAGATTTGCATACAGCCGAGCCTTTAGGACGAGGAAATGTGTTGCTTGCATGAAAATGGTCATTTAAATTCATCCAAGTGGTTTCAGCATCAGCTCCTGAGGACATGAGAGTTATGAGAAACCCTGCAGTGGATGTTGACTCATGAGCCTCATAGAGAGCGTCATTAGAACGATGTTGTTCGCATCCATAAAACTTTTTGACCATTTCTCTAATGTTCCCTGTAGAGCGCCACAGCTTTACCACAGCCTCTCAGACAAAGCTCTGGTTCATCCAGTGTTGACGCCGTGGACTAATGCGGTGCTTTAAAAAGTGTTTCAGATAGAGAGTGTGGGGGGGGGGCTTCTCAAGGTGCCTCAAACCCGGGATCACAGTTGATCTGGTTTACTGTAAACAGTGTGTAGTGTTTACACGAGCTAAAGGAGAGAGCAGTTTAAAGTGTGCACGTAAAAAGCAGTCAGGAAAACAAGCAGGAATCCAGATCATCCTTTAACCTTTGTTTTGGAACCAGCACAGACACAAAGAGGAGGAAGGATTCACAAACACGAGATAAGAAAGAGAAACATCGTCGAGTTTGGTTCATCTTGTTCAGCGATCATGAGAAAAGAGGCCTCTGGGCACAGACAGGTGGAAAACTTTAGCATGTAAGAACTCGTTTTGAAATGTCGTTTTGCATCTTTATTTTGTGAGTCTGTGCCTGTTTTGTGTATTTTTTGCATTACTTTCCAGTTGTTCTTGTTGTGTCTCCAGTTATTTTCAGCCCCTTGTTGTTTGATTTGATCTATTTATAATTATTTCTTTGACTTTTAATTAAGATCTATGACTTTTCAAACCATAATCACAAACAGTCACTTCATCCAGAGGCTCTGGCACAGAGGCTCTGGCACAGGGGCCCTGTGACGTCTCGGGCTTGATCCTTCCTCTCGCTATTTCCCGCTCATGAAGAAAAGTTTTATACTTTTAACGGTCCTTCGTTTTAAAAACTAGAGCACAGCTTTGCGTTTTTGGAATCTTTCTTATGTGATGTCCTTGGATGTTTGCCGTTTGTTGTGGATGCATTTCTACCATTCGCTTCCCTTCCTTTAAAAACCTGCTGTCCTTGTTTATCGCTGTCTCCACATCAACTCCTCAGCTGCCCCGAGACCTTCAAAGTGTCTGTCTACACCTGCACCATCAAAATATTCCTGACTCAACAATCACAAACTTATTTGAAAAACTTTGGCTCCTCTAAAATGAGCTCAAACTGCCCCTCCATACATCAGACCTGTTGTTGAATGGAGAAAACTTTTTCACAATTTCGCTGCCATTGTAATATCATTATGGTTATATTAGCAGCATCACCAACTTTAGGTGAAGTACTTGACACTAGTTCAAATACATCATATTAACATCATCATTCTTCAAACAATATATTGGAGGAGGCGAAGACTTGCAAGCAGTTTCCTGTTCTCTCAACTTCCTGCAGTTGATCCAAAACTTTCCCAGAACATGTTTTTACACTGAATCCAAACCGTGGCTGATCGGTTAAGTTTTGGTCCTTGATCCAGGGTACCTCGCACTCCTGTTATTTTGGTTCAGACTAAACTGAAAAGTCTGAAAGTCTGGATGTGGCCCTCAGATACTGTGGTTCATCTTATAAATATTCTGCATATATTAAACATCTATCTATTAAAATAGTTACTAACCTTAGACTCATTCTACAGCACATGAGCAAAACCCAGAATCTTGAATCTAAACTTCTTCGACATGCTTCTTTTCACAAGGTTTCTTGAATTTGATGTGAGCGAGATATAGAGTTATTAAATCAAACACACATCATTGCGAGGAACATGGTGGCTCAGATCAGCATGAACACCAGCTTGGATTTCTCCTGACCCCTTCTTCTTCTCCTTCTCTTTTCCTTCACTCAGAGTCATTTTCAAATTTGTGCTGATGGATATCCATTTCCTCTTTTCAGCACCTCCGGCCTTTTACCTGCAGCTCTTTTACCTGCTCCTCTTGTGCTGCTGTCTGTGTGACCCAGCCGTGCAGCCGCTGTTCATTCTGACCTCCTGACTGAGAAATGTGCTAATAGACGACTATTGACAGCGCCACTGGACACAAGAAGACAGGGCTTTTACTGTCTGGTAACCAGTAACACACTGAACAGGTGATACTTCACTGTGAATCCATCGTGTACAGGTCGTATATGTACAAACTCTCCAGTGAGATGGAGAAAACACTAACTTTTGTGTAATTCTGGCAGCTGAAATGAGTGTGATTAAATTTTCTCTGATGGATTTTCATATTTTCACAAAGACCAAAGCTTCACTTGAGTTTCCTGTCATGATTCTGCCCCTGCTGGAACTTTTGATTTATTTTTGTAAATCTTATTGTTGGACTGTTTCCTGACTTGGGCCCTGTTGTTTACTTTACATATTACCCAGTTTAAGGAGGTAGCGTAGCGTGCAGAGCTTTAGAGTTATCTTCAGAAAACACAGGGCCACCTCGTTCCACCTGTTTCCAGTCCGACACTAAGCTAAGCTCACAGACTACATCTCTAACAGCCTAAAGGAGCAATATTGATTTTCTCATCTATTTCTTGGCAAGAAAATAGCTGGAGAGGATGACGAGGTGTAAATTTAGATGAGGTAACGTCTTTAATTACAACAGGACCAATATATCACATGGATGACAATAAGAAAACTGCAAACACCAGTGTATGTCTGCCCTGATTTAACGCATAAACTTGACGTGTGCATCATTTGTTACAAAGTTTTTCAAAGTTTTAACTTTTTTTTGTCTTTTTCCATCAAAACTCCTCGACTAAATGTGGGAGAACTCTTTTACCTTTTGCACATATGTCAGATGTAAATGAAGCTGATCCATCACCTCTTTGAATTATGATCTCCAACGTGTGAGTTCTAGTCTTTTACATTCCCTCTGGTAGCGATGATGCTCTCGTACAGACATTAGCATCTCAGAGAGTCAAACAGCAGATTAGCGACACAGGTAAATGTGACACTTCAAAGATGGAGGATGTACTTAAAACCCCACGTGTACTGATGGAGCGGCGACAGAATCTAAACCTAACTCTAAAAAAAAAATCTGAAAGATTCTTGGGATGCTTTGTGCGGATGTGTGTGATGAAGACAATCCAATTAACTTCTTTAATTAATCTTCCTCTTTAATGCGAACATGACCTTGTTACCACATAGAAAATTGTAGATTTAAATAGTGTAATAGGTTGAAGCATCTAATGCAAGATTGGTAGAATGATTTTAAAAGCTGTTAACTCCATTCTTGAACCTGTGCAGTTGAAGCCAAATCTTCAATGGTTAGACATGAACTTTACTTTGAGTGGGCGTCTGCAAATGGAGTTAAATTACATTTTGTAAAAGAAAGTATTCACCCACTCCTCCTCTTTCACTTGCATACACGCTGAGAGTACAAAATATTCATGACCTTTTCCTCAGATTGAGCTCCAGTTTTTTTTTTTACTCACTCCAAATATTCACTCTCTCTTAGATAAAAAAATAAAATATCGACTTTTTTTTTATCCGTGTCGCATTCTTTGTGATTGTTTTCATTTAATAAGAAGCATCAATAACTTTTGATAGTTTTTACCTTGATTTATTTCATCATCTGTTTTTCTCTTCAGGCGCCAAAATCACACTTTCACCTCAACTCTTTTTTTAACATTGTATTGTTGTATTACACAGGCATGTAAACAGTTTCCTGAATGCTTCAGTCCTCTGGGGTCAGGGATAGAAACAAACGTTATTACAACCACTGCTGCTCAGGAGACCAGATCCACACCACTGAGTTAGCCACACACTCACATTCAGTAACACACACACATTTGGTGGAACTAAAGCCACTTCAGACATGCACTTAAGTCCAAATGTTCCAGAGGGGCTGTTTGTGAGAATGCAAATATCTGAGTCAGTTGTTCCGGACATTTTCTGGATCGTTTCCCCCTGGTAAGACGTCAGAGTGAGTCCATGTCAGAATGGAAAAGACAGAATCTAGAGTGGGTGTGTTGATGTCGTTTTCTAACTCGTTACAGAAGCAAAACTGAGAAAGAGAAAGATTACAAATATCTCAGGACAAAAAAGAGTAGCTATAGATGAAGATGTTGACTTTGAAAGACAACAAGATTGGAGAGCATTTGGTGATTAGAGCCTAAGCTAGTGCCGATGTCCAGAAAACAAAAACTTCCTGACCTCATACTGAATGTTCCAGACATTTTCCTGTTGCTGCGAACGTGTGACCAGAACAACTCCTGCTTTTTTCTT